ACCTTCAGGCGCCAGAAGCAATAAATACTCTCTTGAATTTTTATCAAAAATTGTTGTATTCTTCGTTTGTGTTCATTCATACTATATCAAAACAACTGTAGAAACTCTCGCATTATCGCATATATTGCTTGAGTTGACTTTCATTTTTAATTTTAGCGAGTGAATAGACGATTTAGACCCCTTCAGTAGGAATTCTTAAGTTTGTAGTGTGAAGACGACATATACAATTCGCTCACAGAACATAATCATTTAGCCTGTTTAGTGTAGTCACAATGATGTTCACTTCATGCTCCAAAATTAGAGAACATTTAACTTAAAGAATTCTTAAGTTTGCAGTATGAAGTCGACATAAGCAACTTGTTCACCAGACATAACCATTTTGCTTGGTTAGTGGAGTGACCATGATGATCACTTCATGCTCTATATAGTATAAGTAACTTGTTCACCAGACATAATCATTCTGGTTGGTTAGTGGAGTGACCATGATGATCACTTCATGCTCATATATTTTATATTTATATTGTATAATAATGGTACTGAGACTTACATATACGAAATCTCTATTATGACGCCGATGAAGGATTCAGCGCTTCCTCTCAACTAAAACATATGATTTCCGCTACAAACTTTAACACTCTTCTTAAGCCAACTAAAAGGGGTTAAGAGGGTAACCCTTGTCTAGAGAAAGCCGTACATCGACATAATAATCACTATTCCGTTTTTTCAATGCTGTTATTCTGACAGATTTTACAAAGTCTCTATGTATGGTAGATTTGTTATATCTGTTAGTCATTTTTAGTTTATTCAGCTATGTTCTATCTAAACAGATATTAAAAGGAGAGATTTGGAAGCCTTTGAGATGTGATTAAATTTTCCAAAAGATTAATACCGCATGTGGCGAGCTTATTATCTCAACTCCCTCCAATATCATTGTGGCCCGCAATTATTTTGAAATAAACGTTACAACGCTACTGATTTTAATCTCGTCTCTTAGTTTGTGAGTGATTTAGTGATAGCATGGTTATCTACGATATAATATACTATATACACATTGCTATATAATCTCGTATATCGTTCCACCATATTAGCTCTCTTATGTGTCGCTTTAACTTCAATTTGGAAAAGACTCCAATAATCCGATAATATGAAGTAAATTAACTTACGTCGTCTCATTGTAAAACCCTCTAGTTTCTTTTTCTTCTTTTTTTGAGTTTTAAAGCTCTCCTTACACCTTGTAGATGGACACAACTCTATTTCATAGAATAGATTTCCATATTTATTAGTATATTGGCAGGCCACTAAATTATGTTTGAGTGGACTTAATTTGAATAACTTACGTCTGGTCACTGCCATAATAGATTTATGGAATGATATGCCCTTACCAAAAGAAAATGCAATATGCTTATATTATATTAATTTTTTTTCCAAGTGAATGTCTGAACAAGCGACATTATTTGCTCGATTTATTGGAATTTTGACAGAATAAGGTATTTAGTAAAGAATTACTTTTAGTAGTTAAAAGTGTAGGTTGTATGGGTTACTTTTTATAAAGAACATCTGATAACGAAAAATAAACGACTCTAGAAGTTACAATACATGATTTATGCTGGATATATACTGACACTTTTGTAGTGTAATGTTAGTAAATTTTAGCTTTATACAAGTGTATTACTATCAAATATACTAAGAAGAAACAGTTTTAGTTTATAGAAAAAATTAAGTATGAAAGGTAATAAAAAAATGCAAATCAGTTTATAAAAACTTAAGAAATTGGGCGTATGACTTGTACAAATAAGCAGTATTATACTTAGTCTCCATCAGTCGATTTGAGTCATTAGGATAATTCGATCATTCCATATCTTTAGTTTTTTAAATTAATAATTTTTTCAGGACATTCTACTAAATTTGTTTTTTTATTTGTGCTTTATACATATATTTATTTTCATTCTATTTAAATATTTGATATTTTGATATATTTAAAATATAAAACTAATATATGTAACTAATATAATCAATATTATAAAATCAAAAGAAATTATACAACTAGTGGTTTCCTCCTTTTTTTCGGATATGTGTTTTTAAGAGTGCTTGCCAGATTTTAGTGCGATCGGAATAAAAATTTATCCACACAACCATTTTCGTTTCAAAAGAAAAAGCAGGCATAGATTTCAAATCATACCGATATCCGCGAACATAATAAAGCATATTTTTAAGAAATGGACATTTTTTTGGAAAATTACTATATCGGTCCAAATTTGCACGTCCCATCTGTATCAGTGCAATTTGATTTTCATTTGAAAGTAATTGACATCCATTTGCTCGACTTATGTTTATCAAAACGAAATTTTTCGGTTTGCGGGGCAATTCAATAATTACATCAAAAAAGAAATGATGTATATCCTTTATATATCGAAACTCCATACTAAAAGTGCGTCGTTTTAAATTTTTGCTAAGTGAACATGCTGCGTGAGTAAGAATGGAACTAGTAGAATTGCATTGAATATAATCGTTTACTAATTCCATATCTGCCTGCGAAATAGATTTTAGATAATATTAAACTTTACATGATTTATGTTAATAAATGTTTACAAACCTTTACATGAGAATAAAAGTTAAGGATTATAAAAAAGAAAACTATTGGAATTAAAAAGCGTTCTTTGAATTGCATTGTGATTAATCCATTTAAGTTTTTCGTTTTCAAAAAAATATTTTAACTTTAATTTTACTGAACCTTATATCAGTAATTAGTGAAATATAAATGTACGATGAAATTTTTCACAATTTTAAGAGCATGTGGCTTGGTTTCAATTTTGATTATTGTAATTTTGTAATTAGCTATTAAATAATAAATTTTGATGTGATTAACCGGAGCTGACAATAAACTAATAAGGTTCACTGAGTCTTTTTCACCACTTGTTTAAAACAAGTGTATGAAATTAATTAAAAGGTCTTCCAAATAAATTGAAGCATTTATGTATAGTCTCAACCAAACTATTCATTTGGGAGGTATTAAAAACAACTGCAATAATGACGCATAATAGAAAAAACCGGTTATACTAATGGTTACAGGATTAACTCGAGAAAAAGAAATGTACTTATAGTAATAAAAGTTAGACTGCGTTACACTACATAGGAATTTAAAATGTAAGAATGCAACGTTAATGTGGAGAAGTATTATACATAACACATTAGAAGTACCAATCTGGACAGATAAACATATTTCAGATGAGCTTTAGAATTTATCGACAAGTCACAATTGAATTTCTTTGAAAGTATATTTCGTCAGTATATGAGAATTTAATTTGAAGAGTTTTGCATGGCAATTTAAGAAGTTTGTGTAAAAAAACGATTATTTTAAACACAATTATTATTAAGACATATTTGTAATTTACATACCATAGAGTGCATCACAAACTTAATCTATTTATAAAATTGTTTTCACATATTCTTTTCATTCACTCCTGTATCTCGCTATGTATCTGAGCTGATTCATCGGGTTATTATTGATTGGTCTCTTGAGCGTGTGATCTAACCATCGATATTTACGCTTTTTGATTATTTCTTCTATTGCGAGTTGTTCTGCCTTTCTCCATAACTCTGATTTAAAATAATTGCTGGCCACCAAATGCGCATAAACATCTCAAACATCTGTTTATGAATGTTTGTATTTTCTTAACATTTGTTCTGGTGATAGCTCATGTCTCGCAGCTGTATATGAGAGTCGTTTTGGCGCATACATTAGAAATATTGATCTTAGTCCTGAAACTTATTGCACTTGATCACAGTACTTTCTTAAGATACATAAATATACAATTTGCTTTTCATATCCCATACAATGTCCATTATGGAGGACATTTATCATTACCAACAACACTGTCGAGATACTCAAACTTCTTTATTTCCTCTAAGACCTTATTGTTGACAAATAGACTATCTTGTTTGCTGGTATTTATGCCCATTGTTTTAGTCTTCATTACGTTAATGTTCAGGCCGATTTCACTCGATTCATTATTTAGATTCGTAATGCTTCCTTGCATACCGGAAATTCTGCCGGCAATGAGTACTGCGTCATCAGCGTAGTTCAAATGACTCAATTTTTGGTTCAACCTGCAATTAATGTCATGCAAGTTTTCATTCACTGCCTCAATAATTATGTCGAGAACGATGATAAACAATAAACGCGATAATGCGTAACATTGACGTACCCGTTTGATTTTTGATGATATTCCCCTTGTTCTGAGCGCCTGCTATGTGTAATCTCTATTCAGCGCATCAACGTTTAAACCAATTGGAATACTCACTTTAAAAAATGTATTACTTATAACGAACTATTTTGATGTTGGCGAGGTTAAGACCACGGATAAGATGTTTATTTAATGTCGATAATGATGGAGCAAACGTAAATATGAGAAGCTGGAGGACATTTATAAAGAGTCGATACAAATATTGATCAAATATTTAATATACAAAATATACAAAATAAAAAATTGATTATATATTATAATAAATAAATGTAACGAGACTTAAGTTCGTTTAGAGTAAAAAGTGATCTAGTCAGATAAGCATATTTTTTTGGCTTAGTATAAATTTGTATTGAATTTAAAAATTTTGAGAAATAGAGAGTACTGTTTAATATATTATTGTCAAATATGTGAAAATTAAACATAAAATTTTTTTTGGACGATCGTTATAGATAAATATTTCACAACAACCGATATACTCAAGCCTTCATCCCCAAAAATTTTCTATTGAATAAATAATTATAGTATCAGTTTGTTCGCTTAATTTTTTATTACTTTAGCAGCACAATTTATTATATTATAATAATTATTATAATTAATTATTTATGTAACACTACTTTTTATATAACTTTATATAACTTGGAAAATTCAAATGTAGTTTTGATTAAGATAACATTCGCTGTTTGACGTAATCTAAATGTAAATCTTGATCTTCGTTATATTAACTTTTCTTTCAATACTTGTTAATAAAAAACATTACTAGTTACGACGTCCCTTTTTTGCAATATGAGTTTTTAGCAGCATTTCCCAGATTTTGGTGCGATCGGAATAAAAGTTAATCCAAACCATCATACTTGTTTCAAATGAAAAAGCTGGCATTGTTCTAATATCATAACGATATCCGCGTACATAATAGAGCACATTCTTCAAAAAAGGACACTTCTTGGGAAAGTTACTGTATTTATCCAAATGAGCACGGCCTAATTGCACAAGCACAATTTGATTTTCATTTGAAAGAACTTGGCAACCATTCGCTCTACTAATATTAATTAAAACAAAATTTTTTGGCTGTCGAGGCATAACCATAATTAAATCAAAGAAAAAATTTTTCACATCCTTAATGTATTTCAACTCTAAATTGAATGTACGTCTTTTAATGTTTTTGCTAAGATAGCAATTACTATGTGTTACAATTGAACTTGTGGCATTGCATTCGTAATGATCGTAAATTATTTCCATTTCAGCCTGTGGAAATATATTAAATTATATTATATTTTCAAAATCTTATTAGCAGTTACTAACCTTTGCATCATGAATGATTTGACATAAATATTGGATAATTAAGTAAAGTTCTATGAATGTTTTAAATCTCATTGCATACAGTATTGAAATTTTTATCCACTAAAACTAAATTTTTTATTTTGCTTTATTATACTGAATTAAATTAAAAAAAATATTATTTGCTTTCTTGTATAAAGCTTGTGAACTGATTACTCTAATTATGTAATTAACCTATTAGCCATAAATAATGTTATAATAATAAGCATATCATTCAACCAGTTAGTTTGTGAAAAGTTGTTTAAAGTTATTTTATATATATATATATATATATATATATATAATAGCCTTTATTACTATAAAATATATGAATATGAATTTCAAAAGTTAGATTGCAAAGAGAAGGGAAGGAAAAGAATTTCGGCAAGGATGTCTACGGTAAAAATGTTTATCTGTGTTCACTAAAAACCTACTATTGTCAGAGATCCAGATATCTAGGAGAAAAACTGGTTGCAGATTTAAGCTCAGCATCTTTAAATTAATCATAAAACCATTTTCAAATCAAACATGACAAAAATATCTAAATTGCAATAGTGAAAACCGTTGTATATGAGATAATATTTCAACTATTAATAATTTTTATTTAAAGCACATAGATTTGTTAAGATTAACAAGGTATGTGTTAATACAATGCATCTATTGACATTGTGTTTCCATTTGATTTCTCAGATGAAGCTAATGATTATTATTATTATTAGTATGTGATGTCGTGTCTATTGTGCCCCTTCTGAGATGAAATTAAATCTGTAAGCCCTATTGCGTCGACAAAAATTAGTATATAATAGAACCTACTGCATAGAGTTTTATTGCCAACTTTGTAAGGGTTTATATTCTCAGGAGTCTATTCCAAATGTGCATTAGCGCAGGGCATTCTAACAGAACATGTGTGACAGACTCTTCATTCTATTCGCAGAATCTACAGTTTGCCTCTGTAGAAATGCCCACTCTCGTAACGTGGAATTTCAGTTTACAGTATTCTGTTAAGATTTCTCTGATGATTGTAAGTTCTTTTTCTTTAATAAATCCATACAATCCTGATATCTCGTATTGATACCAACAAGTGCTTTGGATTATATTAATCCTGTTACGTTATCCTTTTTTGTTCTGCAGACCAAATGATTATTTTTTAGTAACTGCATGTACTATCTTATCAATATAATAAAATGATCCCCTAAACGACAAATTGTCTCTAGTTCTAAACAAAGATATAAAAACTGCATTTCCTCTTCATTATTGCTCTTCAAACAACTGCAGGTTTATCATAAGATTTATAGTGACCTCACAATCCTTCTAAATAGTTCATAAACTATTCATCAATACAATTTATACAGATTTATAGTGACCTCAAAATCCTTCCAAATAGTCCATAAACTATTCATCAATAGAATGATAATTTTAAATATGGTTTTCAAGATGTCTATATTGAGTTATAGGCCAAATAAAATCGAATTTTTTACTTTAATTGTCTTTAACTTAACGAAATAATAAGTATACAATTGTATTATTTACACATAATTTCAGTTATAATTAGATATTACTACTTACAAAATTGTAAATTGTAAAAATAGTAATTTTCGAAAACCTGACTTGAATTTAGTCAACAGTTTAAACTCCAACATAATAACTGAATTTAATCCTTAAAAAACACATATCAAATTTTAATATTTAAAAAAGTTAAAATGAGTTTTATATGATATTGAGCTTTGTTTATTTAAATGAAAATGACGCTTTAATTAATTGCGCCTTCCTTTCTTTTGGATATGAGTTTTCAGAAACATTTCCCAAACCTTTGTTCGATCAGAATAAAAATTAACCCAAACCAACATATCACTTTCAAATGAGAATGCAGGTATAAATTTAATGTCATAGCGATAACTGCGCACATAATAGATAACATCCTTTTGGAATGGGCACTTTTTTGGAAAATTGCTGTACTTATCCATGTGAGCACGGCCCAGTTGTACCAGAGCAATTTGGTTTTCATTGCCCAACATTTGACAACCATCCGCTCTACTCATATTTATTAAAACAAAATTTCTCGGCTTACGAGGAAAAACAATTACCAAGTCGAAAAAAAATTTCTTAACGTCACTTGAAAAGGTGATCTCCAAATTGAAAGTTCGACGTTTCTTATTTTTACTCAAATGGCAATTCGTCTGTGTGACTATTGAGCTGGTAGCATTGCACTGATGAACATCGTAAATCATTTCCATTTCAGCCTGTTGAAATTCAGATTTCATTTGTGTTAACGTTAGTATATATGTAATTTTGAAATGTACTGACCTTTACTTCAGCGTTATAATTAAAATGATAAATCAAGAAATATATGACAAATGTAAAATATTTCATTACGTACATGTCAGAGGAGATGTATGATATCATGACAGTCACCACATGTTTTACAATAACTTAATTCTTAAAAACAAGTAATTATATTTAAATTAATCCCATATATTCAAATATGTATATTACCCTCATTTTGTATATATTATAAGTAATTATTGTTTATTGAAAACAATATAGTTCATGGTTTTTTTGTAAATAATTATACTCACTTCAATAATTTGTTAATTGCTTTATAACAGCTGTAAAACCACCGAAAACAATAATAATAATACAAGTCATAAAGTTTATTTCATATAATCAATTTCCGAAAATCGGTGACTATATGAATAAATATGAAGTGGAGGGAAGAAGTATCAATACGTTAGAAAGCGAACTAGTATGTTTTATACTGTAAGCAAATTTTGATTCAGAGGTGGCTCAAGGGAGAGATTTACCCAATTTCACAGTTCTCTTCCTGGCGGGTCTAAATTTCAAATATCTTGTAGACCAACCACTACTGCTCCTGAGGATCATATACCATTTGTCACCCTTTTAGAAATACACAAATAAAGATTTAAAAAAAAGGTAAAATGTACAGAATACATTTTTATATACAGAAGTCATTTTATTAATTATATTATCAGTTCCAAAACTGTCGTGCTTTCAATAAAGACGACTCTAATTTGAAGTTTTTTAGAGCATACCGTAGCTTTTTGGTCATATGAGATTTTTCACATTAGAAAAATCAATTTCCATTAACTGAAACATGAGTTTATATATTGATTTATTGTAAGGAAAAATAGTAGTTCAAAACACTAATATTTCATATTACCACAACGTTAAATGCAGATGACTCACATGATTCAAAAAAATACTAAACATTACTTCTAAATTACAGGACTGAGAAAGTTGATAGATTCTTACAGTTCAGCCAAAAGTATAAATTCGAATCTAAAATTAGTGGCTATTATGAAATGTCTATTGGTAGACAATAGACATTTGTATACTGATTCGATTGGCAAACAAATTTCATATTATGAAACTTGATAGACAAACAAATGCACTATATGATGCATGATAGCACTATTTATATCTACAATTCTTATACCAGCACAAAAACTAATGCTCAGCGGTATAATTTTTTCAAACAAATGTTTAGCCAATATCGTTGCAATATTAAAGATATATGTAAAGTTTAAAATTATAAAATAAAGTGCCGAAATTTAGTGAAAAATTCAAACTGAAAAGTATTTACACAGATATTTTTGTAAATAACTTGATTGTGTTAAAATGCAACTTTATATTGAAAATAGATAAATTTATGCGATAAGTTCATTCGGTAAATTTTTTATTTGTGTAAATATTTTTTCATTTAAGAGATGATACTTAACTTAGAAAGTAGATAAATTTATAAGGTTCATAAGGTTTATATATAATAAAGAAACACCTCTGTTAACAATCTTTATTCTCAATATACAATATATTACACATGAAAGCCGATATATTAAGCGGGTAAGTAATGAATATATCAATGAATTAATACTAATGATTGAATTTATATTCATTGAATATAATTGAATGTATATTCAATAATATTAAATTTATATGTTAAATTGACTATGTAAAGCGCTTCAACAGCATTTTTTTTTCGATCGACAAACTTCTTTGAGCTTCTACTGCTCAAAAACAATAGACAAATTTATCTATTCTAGATAGAAAAAGTTCTATGGGTTTGTAGTTCACGATACCAAAATTCGGTTTTGTCTGTAGTGATATGATATATATATATAACATTTGATATACATCTAAAAATTGTAAATTTCATATAAAAATATAATATTTGTGTATTTCAAACAATGGCATTGTTGAAATTATATTTGTGTGTATAGAGCTCACTGATATGTTACTCACTCATAGCAAGGCCCTACTCGCTATGAGCCCAGAATGCTTGTAATGGTCGGAAACTATTTTCATGTCTACGAAACTCTGGCATCTTATATAAAATATTAGAAACAATAGATGTGAATAGGAGCATAAACCAATAAGCAGAAGTAGTTGAGTTATATCTTTAACTATAATTAAATACATATACATCAGATATTTTCCTGTGTTTTTCGAATCAGATATTGTTGCATTCGTTTGCATTCAATTATAGTTTGAATTTTAAATTTTCTAATAACATTAATACCACTGAGAGATATTTGTACCATTAACAAAACTAAGGTAGTAATATGAATTGTTTAATCAGACAATTATTATGAGACAATTGTAATTTTATCATTTTTTCAACATTTCATTTTGTATATCTATTTGTGAAGTACTTTAATAGTTTAAAAAAAATTCGTTGGAAAAATATTTTATAATTAAAACAAACTTAATTCATTTTTGTTCTTTTAAAAATTCAATAAAAATTGAAACTAATTAACATTTTATTTATTATACATATTTATTTCAGAATAATTTACCTCTTTTTAGGATAATATGACTAATAATTGCACCATTGGAAACTTTTTTCTTCCCAGCAAAAAAATTATAATATATTTCAACTGCAGTATCGAAATTAAAAGCGGGAAACATTTGCATATCAAATCGAAAGCCTCTAATATAATACAAAATTTTCTTTT